CCTGTACTGATCTTCATATGCCATCGGGTGACACTACAATTTAGAATGTCAGACTCTCCTTACAGTATTGCTGATTTGATTATGGTTAGAGGTTTATGTGTCTCTTGTGTACATAGTTACAATTAACACTGATGGGTATAAAGCATTTCACGGGGCTTATTAAACCCAGGCATAGAATCTGAATGTTCTGGGCCTCCTTCAGTGTTCACATAAACTATAATTCATCCTAATTTTGAAATCTGACCTTCCTGGGCATGAATAAAGGATTCTGGATTTCAAAGGCATCTGTGGTTCCACAAAGAGTCTCTGAATACAATTTTAGCCTCTGTGTCACATTCTAAAAGCTCAGCTCTAAAGAAATCTTATTGGCTGTTTGGTTTAAAGGTGAACTCAAGCAAACCTATTATTGAAAATCTGGTTCCTGGGGCCCAATACCAGGTTGTGATGTACCTAAGAAAAGGCCCTTTGATTGGACCACCTTCAGATCCTGTGACATTTGCCATTGGTAAGTCACCAGGTACAAGAATAATAACATTCTCAAGGTATTGTTTGGAGGGGTCCAAGCTCAACTCATTATCATCATATATGGGAGGCCCATTCTTGTTCACCCAATATCCTACCCTCAGCATCATAAACTATTGAAATTGTATAGCTAGAGGGCATCCTTAGCATTTATTATTTGAGGGAGTGGGGTGAGAATCAGAGGCAAATATGTTTAGTTTTCTATGATGGTATCAGAAGAGCAAAAACCTTAGTTATAAAGTAGACATTTGAAGCCGTTGCTATGATATTAAACATTCCTTCTTGGCTTTCTTTTTTCACTCCCCTCTCCTCCTTCCTCTTAGTTCCAACTGGAATAAAGGATTTAATGCTCTACCCCTTGGGCCCCACAGCAGTGGTTTTGAGCTGGACCAGACCATACTTAGGAGTGTTCAGAAAGTATGTGGTTGAAATGTTTTATTTCAACCCCGCAACAATGACATCGGAGTGGACAACCTACTACGAAATAGCAGCGACCACCTCCTTAACTGCATCTGTGGTAATCTTTCCTGAGCCATCTGTCACCTCCCTGTGTAAATAGATGTGCCGATATGTACCTAATGTCAGGAAAAGGTATCTGTAAATTAGACCATTTTGTAAATATACACAGCTTGCTACTCTCAAGGGTTTTTTTGGTTGTTTTTAGGATTGTTTTTAGTTGTTTTGAGAGAGAGAGAAAGAATTGTGTGCAACTGGCTTTCACCCCTAGTTTGTTTGTTAATCCATATTTTAGTAGAACTACCAAGTGCTTATTGTTTCTTCCTGCTCCTGGGGAGAAAAACACAGGAGATTACCTTTCATCGTTTAATAATTAGTTGACACTGCTTAACTGTGATGATGATGATTCTTGACATCTGCGAAACAGTTAAGTACTTATATATTGTCAGGCCATTAGAGAGAGGGTAAAGACTCCTCTCTCTAAACCTTAAATAATTTTAGAAGTGCAGTTTCCCTGCAATTCACACATGAAGTACCCAGTTGATGATTCATAATTGTCACCCATCAAGGGCACATGCCTATGGTCCAACCTAAGAAAATACAGAGTTATGAAAGGTCATTTGGCTTGAAATAGGGAGGCGTGTATCTACAGTCACTTGCAAATAAGTACTATTTCACTTGTGTAATATGACTTAGGAAACTGCAAAATGAAACCAATATTGGAAGCATCTGACTCTATACCTTTGAATCACTTTTTCAATTACACTATATTTTTGTATAGCTTTTTATTTACACCCCACCTCATTACAAAAAGAGGTTGTTGTGTGTGCTTTTAGTGGAAAATTTTGTGAATACAACAAGGCACAGAATATAAAATAAAAATTATTTATTAGTTCTTTTCATGGCCAAATAGAAATAATTCTACTAAAAAAAATATGATTTTCCCCCTTAGTTTTTTGTGTCCTTGCTTTTTTTAGAGAATAGCTAATCTGTTACCAGCGTGGTACTACAACTTCCGAGTGACCATGGTGACCTGGGGAGACCCAGAATTGAGCTGTTGTGACAGTTCCACCATCAGCTTCATAACAGGTGAGCGGTGTGCAGGGAACGGTTTCCCGAGGAGAGAACACTATCTGCAGAAGGTTCTGAAGAGACACATCTCCAGAAAGTGCTGGTCACTCACTCAGGAGTGACTGAGCCACAGTGTCATGGAAGATCATAAGCCTGAGTCTGGAAAATTATTATTTGTTTAAATAATGGCCTTTAAAAATTAAAATATTATTTTTATCCTGAGTTCCTGCCCTTGATTCATTTTTATTCTGAGTCACTGCCCTTGAGTAGTGTGCCCCTGTTTGAAATTGGTCAGAAAAGAGATGTGCTTCACACTGCAGTCAATTGCCTTTGCCCGTTTGATGGCTGTATTTGCTAGAGGGCCTCCATGTCATTATTAATTGTGACATTTTTAAAGCCCAGGCTGACTTCAGTGTTGTCCACTGCAGGAGTTAAAAGCCTGTGGAGACAGGTAGACCTGGGTTTGAATCACACCTCTGTTGGATGCCATATACGACCTTGAGCAATTAACTTTTCTAAGTCTTGGTGTTTTTTTAATGTGAAAACTGGGGATGATACTAGTATCTATTCTCTGTTATTATCTACTGGATGCCCGATGCATAAATTCGTGCATGGGTGGGGTCCCACGGCCTGGCCAGCGATCAGGGCTGATGGAGGTGGGGAGACGACTGGCCAGCCAGGGGGAGGGACTGTGGGAGGTTGGCTGGCTAGGGGTAGGGACCGCAAGTAGTTGGCAGGCCAAGGGAGGTTGGCTGTGGGAGTGCACTGACCACCAGGGGGCAGCTCCTGTATTGAGCATCTGCCCCCTGGTGGTCAGTGAGCATCATAGCAACCAGTCGACTGATCATTTGGTTGCTTAGGCTTATATAGAGACTAGAGGCCTGGTGCATGAAACTCATGCAGTGGGGGGAGGGGGGGACATCCCTCAGCTCAGCCTGCACCCTCTCCAATCTGGGACCCCTCAGGGGATGTCCGACAGCCGGTTTAGGCCCAATCCCTAAACCAGCAGTCGGACATCTCTCTCGCAATCCAGGACCGCTGGCTTCTATCCGCTCACCTGCCTGCCTGCCTGCCTGGTCACCCCCTAACCACCTCTGCCTCGGCCCCTGCCACCGTGGCTTTGTCCAAAAGGATGTCTGGAAGACATCTGGTCTAATTAGCATATTATCCTTTTATTAGTATAGATTATTGTTTCTCAATTAAATAAGCTGCTTAGCAAAATACATGGCACAAACTTTAAGTAACTTTAAAAAATTGTTCATGTTAGAACTCAGAGCCTTAAATTGTGTAGTTTATCATCATACTAAGGGCCTGGTGCACAAAAATTTTGTGCACTCGGTCAGAGGGGTCCCTCAGCCTGGCCTGTGCCCTCTTAGAGTCTGGGACCCCTCAGGGGATGACCAACTGCTGGCTTTG